GAGGCAGCTTGTTGGGGTGGCACAGAGGGTCCCCTGGGCTCCCTGGTATGAGGCTTTTCTCTTTCACTTAGAGGTTTTTGCTGATCCTTGCCCCTGCATGCCATGGGAGGCTGCCGACCAGGTTTCTGGCTTTAAACAGAGCTCGTTCTCTCTCAATTTTGCAGCTTCTTGCCTTAGAGGACAACTGCAATTTAGTTTTATTTTGCAAAATTTGACATGACTTGAGACTGTGATTTACTGGCCTTGAAGGATATGGTATATGTAACCATGGAGGGCATAAGTGGCTTTTCATGGTAGAGGAGTCATAAATTGAGATGAAAAAAAAAATGAGGGAAACGTTACTGTCCAACTTTACAAGGTAGCACTAAGAACAGGACACAGCAAAGCCATCTGTAACTGTCAAGGGTCTTTATTGTCCCTGATTGTGTGTAATAAAGCTCCTGAACGAGACCTATGGTCTCAAATACGAAGGCAACCATCTTTCAAGTGTCTGAAAAGACACAAGATGGCAATCTTTTCAAAAGGACACCCTGGAATGTCTCGGGGCTAAAGATTTCCAAGCTATCATCTTTACTTGCTCCAGCGCTTGCCAGAGACCCTGGGAAAGGATCTGTGGCCAGCTCACTCCCTCCGTGGCCACCAGTAAAGGAGCTTGCACGTGTGTGGGGTGATGCAGAAATCTTGGAGGGCATCAGCCCAAGCAGGACTGGTAGCCTTGGCTGTATGGTCCGATCCAGACATGAGGTCAGCATCCTTCCCCTGTTCATTCATGGCACCTGTGCCGCGAGATGCAGCAGTTGTAGCTGGTGATATTTCTTCTGGGGCTTGTTTTGGCATCTGCATCTCCATGTCATAGTTTCAGCTGGGATCGAGTTAACTTTTTTTGCTAGCAACTGGTATAGTGCTATGTTTTGGATTTGGGATGAGCAACAGTGATGATAGCACACTAACGTTTCTGGTTGTTGCTAGGTGGTCAAGGCCTTTTCTGCTCCTCATACCGCCCTGACAGCAAGCAGGCTGGGAGGGCGCAAGAAGTTGGGAGGAGACATAACTGACCCCAAGTGACCAAAGGGATATTCCATACCATGTGATGTCATGCTCTGCATATAAAGCTGGGGGAAGGAGAAGGAAGGGGGGTACTTTTGGAGTTGTGATGTTTGTTTTCCCAAGTAACTGTTACACATGGTGGAGCTCTGATGTCCTGGAGATGGCTGAACACCCGCCTGCCGATGGGAAGCAGTGAATGAATTCCTTGTTTTGCTTTACTTGCATGCGTGGCTTTTACTCTGCCTATTAAACTGTCTTTATTTCAACCCAAGAGTTCTTTTCCTCACTTTTACTCGTCCGATTCTCTTCCCCCATCCAAACTGGGGGGAGGGAGGGAACAGCTGCGTGGTTCTAGCTGGTGGCTGGGATTTAACTGTGACACCCCTCTTTGCCTTCTGTCTCCTCTGCATTTTCCGACAGACACAGATCCAGAGGGACATTTCATATAGCAAAGATATTTCAGACAAGGAAGAAAAACCTCCTCTTGTTTTTTTTTTTCTTAATGCCACAAGAATAGCTTCAGAATTTGTCTCACTTAAAAATTAATTTTCCCTGGTTGAGCTAGGGGTGGTGTGGGGCGGGTGGAAGAATTACCTCCGCTTGGTTTTCAGCATTTGCCTGGCAAATATTTCCAGGCTTCTTGGTTTTATATGATAATTTTCAGCTTAAAGGTTGTAACGCATTGCAATGTGGCAAGGCGACAGGGGCGGTGTGACAGTTTCCAGGCTGCTCATGCTCGTTTTATCTGCAAATGGTTGAATTTGCAATGTGTAATGATCTCTGTAAGGCAGTTAGCAGCGAGATAAACATCAATTTTATGGCTGGGAAAACATGAGGGGTGTTGCACAGAAAAATGAGAGGACCTGAATACTGAAAGCTCTCTGACCTCCTCAACACGGTTGGGTTTAGCTCTTGCATCTCCATTGGCCCCTGTGCATCCCAACCCCTTTCCATGGTGGGTCAAGCCAGGGGAGATGCCATGGTAGAGCCTCCCGTGATGGGATGCAGGAGCAGCACAGCCTTTCCTTTAGGGGTGGGGGCTGCAAGAAGCAAGGACTTAGTATTCACAGCCAAGAGTTAAGAGGTTTTGCTGAAGTGGAAATGAAGTAAGGTGAAGACTTCAAAGTTTTTTGGGGGCTTGCTTTGTAATAGGAGCTCATGCAGAAGTCTGGAGTTACCTTTCAGTTGCAGCCAGACTGGGGATGTGTACAGCACTCTGTACAGATGGGCTTTGATTTTTCACGAATAATAGCTTTTTGCAGCTCTGTTTCTTCATTGGATATGATGTGGGGTGTAAAATGCTTTTTCTTAATTTGCTGTGTGCTGAATGCCTCTGGAATGCAATTAATACTCTTGCCTAAGTCTCAAAAAATTAATAGGCGTGTCTGGATGTTGCTGAACGACACTGTGTGTATACGAGGTGGTGGTGGGAGGGATGGCTCAGTCCCTTGAAGCTGAAAACAACCTAATATGGGGAAGAAAGGTGCAAAACCATTGGTGAAAACTTAAGCACACAAACTGGCTACAGGAAAATGTGAAGTGGTGCCATGCTGGCCAGATCAAATCCACATGATGGTGCTAACGCAGCGGCTGCTGGTGGGAGCAGACATGATCTCAGCTGCTTTAGGACCCACCACCTTCATCCCACTGGGATGTCCCTGGCCTGGGAAGGCCCCAGATGACACCCCCAGCTGGAGCAGGGGCTCCTACTACTCCTTCTGTGTAAGCCTGGGAGGAGTGATCAAGCTAATTAGTTATTTAGCTGGCATTGAGAACAAGGGGTCTCTCCATGCTGGTGCAGGTGCTCAGCCTGCCTGGGAACCTGAGCTCCTGGGTGGTTTTAGTTTTCTTGGTCTGTGTGTGACATGTAATACGCTGTCAAATGTCTCGAATGTTGGCAGCGTGTTCAGGGCTGGTGTTTTCACTGTATAGAATATTTAAGGTGATTTTTCACATTTTATGTAGCTCATTTACTACTTGCATTTCCGCCCTACAGATGTGATGAGAGATGATCTGGTTTCAGTTTTTTTCTCTTGACTGTAGCCAGCCCTTTCAAACTCCCCTGTGCTGTGACATGATGCTTCAGACATCTCCACAAAAAAAGTGTGCATATATTTATCTCACATTTCTAGGGGGCTAAAGCTCAGAGACGAACAAAGCTTCCTGTTGATGCCATTAAAAAAATAATAATAATCTCATCTCAGAACAAATTAGAAACAACATAATTCACACAAAAATAGATTCAGGTACCAAAGCCACCTGGATTTCTCCTCTTAGGTTACAAAGATTTCTGATGAGCTTTGCTAATGTTGGGTTTGGTGGGGGGGTGACTGGCCCCAGAGTCTGGGGCTGGCTGTGAGCGGAGCCCCAACGCACCGTGCAAACACCCGACGGGCATGAAGAAAAATGTTTTCCACCTAATCTTGTTACTGTGACAACAGCAGTGAAACCTTTTAAAGCGGAAAAATACGATTTTTTAAAGAGATATTGCTGCCCCTTCAGCTCTGTCTGACAAATGCGATCCGTAGCGTGTACTGCCTGCTTTGCAATAGTCTTGTAAGCTCAATGGTGGTCCTGTGGCACAGAGCTTGGATTTCTAAGAAAGCTATGAATCCTTTTGAAATAGAAAATTCTTGGCTAGAAGCAATGTAGTTAAAGGGTTACCATTTTCTTTCCCTTTTTCTAGCCCATCTGGTCCTTTTATCTCTGTTTTTTCTTCCTTCACTTTTCATTTCCCAGCTCCTTCCCCTAGCTCGCTCCTCTTCCAACGCACTTTTCTGCTGTTTCCTTTAAATTGATGTTCCCCAGCTGTTTATTTTAAGCCACTTTTGCTCAAAGCTTGACGTTGCTGGTAGTGTTTCTTGCATCTCCTTCCCTAGCATGGACTGGTACAGAGTTTCCGCTCGTCTGAAACACAGGCATCACAAGTTGCAGCTGCTTTTATGCGAGTCAAGCTCCCGAGTCTTCCTCGCAACCCAAATCCTCCTGGCTTAGCTGGCAACAGCAGCCCAAGAAGCTGAGGCTGCTCTCAGCCTCTTCATACTGGTTGAACCCTTGCAGGATACCAGTATAAATTTGTGTGGTTGCTAGAAAACAGGTTGGAAACATCCAGCAGTCACCTCTTGGCTAGAAACCTAAAATTATTAGCCAGCAGCCAAGTGGAAGTGTGATATATATATATTTATATATTTAAAAAGTCATGGTCTCTGGGGATCCTTTCTAGCTTTCCCGGGAGACCAGATCTTTTACTTTGTTCAAAGCCTCCCCAAATTTTGAAGGGCAGCTACAAAACAGATAGGAGATGTTTAATTTTGTTCTGCCGAAGCCGCTTGGCAGCACAAAGACAGCGCTTCCTTGGTTCGCATTTCTTCCAGTCAGCTCTCAGTACGGCTGAGTGCTAAGGATATTTTTTTATCTGAAACCTTGAATTCTACAGAGACGGAGCACTTATTTCTTAGGATCACTAGGGAAAATTTCTTACTCTCCCAGTAGGGTGGAAATCTCAGGCTCTGAAGCTATAATATATGTAGTCTTCCAACATCATTAAAATAGAGTTTTGCCTGACAGCGCCACTGCAATGCAATGAATGAGATCCTGCCTGCAAATTCCAAATCAATTGGTGTCGTGGTATTGTGGTGGCGGTAATTTGAAGGCAATTTCTCAGGGAAGGGTGTGAAAAAAAAAAGAAAAAAAAAAAAGGAGGCAAAAAAGCTGGTTTTCTGCCAGTCATCCCGTGTTCCTCTTTGCTGCCCTGGGGCTGAAATCTGGCTGCTCACACTCAGCAAATGGAGGTTTCGGGGGTTAGGAAGCCGCATGTGCTTTCCCTGGCGAAGGGGGAGAAGATGTCACATCGCTAGGCTGCTGGGCAGAAGATACCCGCTCTTGTATCTAGCTTTTACTGCGGTTTTCTATGAGGCCGTTTGCCTTAATTGACTCCTTTTTCATTTTTTAAGATGCCTGGGGGAGTTCGGGATAGAGTCTCCAGGCAGGAATCCCTGATCGCTTGTAGAGTGAGGCTGATCTTGCACAATAAGGACTTAGATGAGGCAACGCTGGGGTGGACCCTGACTCTATCCTGCCCAAATTCTGCCCTGGGCAGCGGGTAGTGGGATGGATGTTATTTGCTCAGGCTGTGCCTGGGTCTGGAGTAACCCAAAAACTCAGCCAGCAGGTTTTATTTGTGATTTTTTCGGAAGTGTGGGGATGTATAAAGGAGGATAATTATCTCATGGCATTAAAAAAAACAAACCAAACCAAAAAGCAGGAGAAATATCTGGCCCTTTTTGAGCTTGGAGGGCTGCGTGCTCCACCTCTTGGGTGAGACAAGGCACAAGCGATGGGGAAGGTGACCCTCAGGGATGCAAACAGCAGTGCAAACACCCCCTGTCCCCCCCGGGAGCCAAGTGAGCGGCCGAGGGAGTCGGTCTGGGGTGGAGGAGCGGTGGCTGCCCTTTGCCCTGTACGGCGGCCGGCGGCCCATGTGGCAGTGGACTTTGGCAGCGGCGCCTGGGGACCGGAAGAAGGGCCCCGGCGGCCTCCGAGCAGGTGTGTGCGGCTGCCGTGGGGGGGCGGATGGCGGTGGGAACCCCTGGCCAAAAATGAAGGGGTCCGTCGGTGGGTCCAAAATGATGGGTGTCTGGATGCTTGTGGCCGGGGACTATTTAGGGCGAGGATTTAACCCTTATTGCGCCTAGAAGGGGCACAAAGTGAGCCGCCTCTGTTCTGACCTGAGTGTGTGCCCTCCCCCAGCCCTGAAACAACCCCAAAATGCCTTAAACTTTGAGTGTGAGAGGGGTGACAAGTAGTTCAGGCAGCGTCTGGCCATCTGCCTGCTTTGGGGAGGTTTGTGAGCCTTTGTGGGGGCAGTTTGTGTACCAATGCTGCAAGAGGACGTGGGGGGCTTGAGGGTGGCATCTCCCCCCCTCCCAGCAGCTGGGGCTTTACCCACATGTTGCCCTGGGCTCTCCTTAGGTCGTCGTCTTCTGTGTGGGACCGTTATAAGTAAATCTGGTGTCTGCTTAAACTGCTATATTCTTGCTGGAGCTGAAAAGCCGGAGGAAATTCCCTGTTTCCACCCCATCTCATAGCTCACATAAGCAAAGCTCCATTTCTCCCTGCCTCTGTCCCTACTCATTTCTTTGAGAATAACTCTCCCCGTCCTGCTCATAGCTTTGCCAATATCACTTCCCCTACCGCCTATAAAATGGGGTTTCACTGCCTTGTCACAGAGGTGAAGCTGATTTCTCACCTGCTCGGGGAGGCTGTGAGTGGTGGTGCTTTGCAGGGCTGGCTTGGGGGTGCAGGAGAATGCTACCTGGGTGCTACCTCTTGCTCTGGCAAGAGCTGTATGCTTGTTACTTTCAAAAAATGACCATTTCATCCTGGTGTTTTAATGGGAGCTTCAAGTTTAGGCAGATGCGATGACTTTTCCTTGACTCTGGGCATTTTGGAAAGGACACTGGGTTCCCAGCAGGCTGCCAAAAGCGGAGAGTAGGTGGCAACTGGTTTCATGGCGGGGGGTGCTTTGAGGGGAGTGAAAAGCCACCGATCAAACGCACTGTGACTTATCTCATTGCTTGCAGGCCACTAAAGCCATTTGGGACCTCCCCTCCTGCCCCAAAACCGGAGAGGATCTTGCTGGCAAGCTTGTGATGGACCCCTGGGTCCCTGCCCGGCCGCCCCAGCCCTGGGAGAGGCAGGTAGCCCGGGGGGCATGGGGAGAGGTGCACCGTGGCCCCCCACCGCAGCCCAGGCGACAGCTCCTCCGTACAGGGCCCCCACCTCGGCCCGGCTCCTGGGATGGGGGCCACCTCCCCAGCCATCCCTGGGATGGGGGCCACCACCCCCGGAGAGACACCAGCAGACCGGCTTCTCGGGCTGAGTACTATGAAAGCAGCTACCCCAACAGGCCATACTCCAGGTGAGAGCTGCCCAACTTTGCGATGCTTGTGCTGAGCCCCTCCCTTGTAAACCTTCTTAAAATAAGATTTGACCATTTCACTGCTCTCGTGGGCTTGCAACGCGGGTCCTGCCCTAGTAACTGCATAGGGGAAGCCACCAGCAGCCTCGAGGAGGCAGTGCGTGATTAGATGATGTCCAGCTATTAAAGCAGCTGGTGACTTCTATATTTAAGGCTGCGTAACCGTTGCAGCTCTGATTTCTTCCTACAGCTGTGACTTCTGCGGTTTCCATTTTACAGGCTTCATCTCGGTCCCAAGGTGCATTTTTCTTGAAGGCTTGATTAAATGCAGTTCTTTTTTACTAAGTGCAAGGTGAACAATAAAAATATAAATGGTAATATAGGAGCAAAAGGGAGCTTGCAAGCTCAGCTGCTGAAACAGCGGAGGGTGGAAGGATAAAATGTGGGCTAGAGGATGCTCTCGGTGCTGAGCGAGCTTCAAGCACTCCAGCAAATTTGGGTTGATTTGCCTGAGTTATTGCTCTTGGTGAGTTATGGTGTGGATACATGGGGGTTTGTGCTGAGGTTGTGTGATGCTCACGCTGGGAAGGGGGGGTGCTGCATGGGGCTGACCAAATCGCTGTGGAAATTGTGAAGGGTTATGGTGTGTAGATGTCGGGCAGGCAGCTTAGGCTGGGGCTGGGCTCCAGGGCAAGCGGAGACCTGCACTGAGCTGTGCGGTGAACATGGCGGCTCCAGAACTTGGTGGAGAAGGTGCCTTTGGGGGGGACCTCTCCTAAATTGTGGGTGAAAGTTGATCCCTATGACAAGTCCACACCATCAAGCTGAAACTGGGGATCTCCTGAAACTGCAGAGCACAGCTTTCCCATAGATGGGGATGGGAAAGTATCCAAACCTCCTGCTGCTCCTTCCAGGCGTAGTGCTGGACCTGTTTCGGGCCCTACTGCTGAGCAGGGCACCTGGGCAGAAGACCTGCCTTTGTTTCCATCACCCTTTCTGCCTCCAAAGATCCTGTCCAGGCATGAGTCTATCCCTAGATGTGGTCCAGAAACTGCAGTGGTGCCCTTTCTCAGATTAAGTACGTTGTGTTCTGTTTTGTTTCAGGCAAGGATATGAAGACCCCCACTGGCAGTATCCAGCAGCCAGCTACAGGGCTGACTATGCCTACCAAAGCCACCAGTGGCAGCCGGTGGCCTGGCAGGATGACAGAGGTATGGGCTTCTGCTTTGGGTTTGGGGATGGAGGCAACTTGCTGCTTGCAGAAGAGGCAATACTTTCTCTAGGACGGATTGTTCTCCCAGGGCTTGCACATCTCCAGAGCTTGCTTCTGCCCATGCTCCCAGGCCATCGGTGCTGTTGTCCCCATGCAGCACTGCCCTGAGTTTGCATTTGGGAGACGTGAGCAGGAACTAGATGCACCTAAGGGAAGGTTTAATCTTGATCTGCATGGCTAAGAACCTGCATCATTTCTGGTTCCAGGCTGAACTCAATGATGCTGATGGTGCTGTGTGATCAGGGTGGCTGGGGCCTTGTTTTTGCTGTTTCTGGAATTCCTGGGCTGAAGAAAAGGGGAGGGAGGAAAGAGGAAAGGACATCAGTGCTGTGTTGGCAAACATATAGAGGGCTTTATTATACTTCCAACTTGCTGCGTTAATTTGGAAGCAAATGGGGTGTGCATGGCAAATTGTCTGACTCATTGCTTTTCTTTTGCGACTCCATTATGGCTTGTTGCTCTGGAGGGGCAACACTAAATCTTGATTCTCCCTCCAGACCTGAGACAGGGAGAGCCTTACGGCAAGAGTACCAATTACCAGGACCAGCATTACTACAGGGGTTACCACCCCAACCTCACCACGACCCCCCCGGGGCAAGACAGGTAAGGGTGGGGGGTGTGGGCATCATCTGATGCAACCATCTGCTACAAAATTAGCAGGTTTGTGGCTGGTACCAAAAATCTCTGACCTTCAGGGCATCTCCTTTTGCTCCCTTCTGCAGGACGCAGACCTATGACTCCTCTGAGGAGAGACACGTCTCAGCTGCCCGGTCCGAGTGGGCAGGGGGAGAAACCTTTGAAAGCGAATCAGGGGAGGCCAGTGGCCAGCCCCGAGAGGTAACCTCAAGATGGGCTGGGATGGAGGACAAAAGGTTTGGAGATCTCCCAGAGAGTTTGGGAGCAATCCACGTGTCCCTCCTCCAGCTGGGAAAGAGGCTGAGGAGAAAAGGGCTGCTTTGCTATGTTGCACTCAGTGCTTAACCATCTCTGGGGATGATTATAGTGGGTTATTAGTATTTATGAACTCCTTATCTGCTGGGCTGTTGTTCCCCCAGGCATAGGGCTGTACACTGCTCCTGCACGGGACCAAGAGCAGGACAGAAATCCAGGCTTGGTGGGATGCTCTCCTGCGTCCTCCTTAGGTAGTAGGAAGCTGTGTGTCATTTTCAGCTATGTCCACCAAGGTCTGCTCCATCATGCTTGTGATCACTCTGGCCAAAGAGCAAATTAAAAGATCAAATCAAAGTTGCTCTGGTGGTTTTGCTCCTGGACAGAGCTTTTTTTGGATTGCCAAGCACTGTCTGCTGACTGTGTTGGGGAGCCTGTGTTAGGGCTAGGAAAGCTTTGGGCTAGAGCGGTGGCTGATGTAAATTATTTTAAAAGCCATTGGGTATGACCAGGGTATGTGCCACGATGAACCTAAGATGCTGAAAAGAGTGAGCTGCTCAGATGGGAATGAGCTGTGCTGTTCCTGCTGGGCAATTTTATGGAGCAGCAGAGCCTGTCCCGCTGCCCTGGGAGCAGAAAAGCAGCGGTGTCCCTAGTTTCTCAGCCAGGTTTGTTTTCTCCCTTCCTCGCAGTCTTCGGGCCAGCCCAGCCTGCTCCTGCAGTACCGTGAGTCGGGACTCAGCTCCAGCGGCTACGAACTCAGCCAGTACATCCGTGACGGTGCCGACCACTATGACCCCGTGCTTTCAGGGACCTGGAACCTGGCACAAGCAGGTGAGGTGTGATGGGGCCCTTGCCCCGGCCCCCTCTGAGAAGCAGGGAGCAAGGAAATAAATGGCTGGCGTTAGGAGATTTGCTGTCTCGCAGCTTGGTCCTTTCCTGGAGGAGGTTGTGCAAGCACACAGCATGACTAGGGGGCTGCAGGGTGGGTGCATGGGCTGGTGGCTCTGCTCTAGTAGGTGCAGGAGCTGCCGCGCGTGCCTTCTGCTTTAGGGGACAGTTCTTGCATGGTGGGACGGGGTGTCAGTGGAGGGTTACTTAAGTTGGGGGGTCAGGTTGGGACCTGGTCATGTCCTCCATAGTGGAGGTGGTGTGGGGTCAGGGTGAGGGAATTCACGCTGGCCTGTGTGTCATTGCAGGGGAGCCCATGGTGTCCACCCCAGCCCCGGTGGTACCCCTCAAGTTCTCGCTGCCGCACATGGCAGTGTGCTTTGGAGCCGGAGGCCAGCTGGTGCTGGTGTGTCCCCACCGCCCTGCTGAGGGGCAGCTAGCCCACGTCGAGCTACACAGCCTAGAGGTATGCCACAGCCTGGCACCCCAGACTGCCCTCAGTCCCCTTGCTGGAGTGGCTCCTTTTCCCCCAAGGGATGCAAACACCGTTTGTCACCCAAACAGCCTCCTTAGCAGACTTCCCATCCCCTGCTGCCGTCTTGTCTCCAGCCTACATGGACTCTTGAGACTGGATCGTGCCAGCCTGTGCCTGGGCATTGCTTTCAGCCTTTGGGCCCTCCATCCCACTCCTTCAGCTCCATAACCCTTGTAATCTGTGACCTATTCACAGTGATCCCTCCTGATCGGGACAGATGTGGTCCACAACTCCCTGAAGGATAAATCTGCTCACCTTTCTGAGGTGCTCCAATACAGAGGCTGTGTACATCCCCTGGGTCTACCACAGCATTTGTCTCCTATTTTGCCTCCCAACGGAGGCAAATGCCATCTCAATGGGCTTTTCTTTCCTGGATCTTAGCATTGGGGTTCAAGTGATGGTTTAGGGCCTATGCTCTGGGCTTACCTTAAGACAGCACAGAGAATGTGTTCACCAGCAGTGTTGAACCCTCGGCCAAGGCGCTGACTTTCAGCTAACCCAGCTGGAGCTGGCCTGATTGCTGGAGTCCAACTGCTATATTTTCTCTTGTTTTTTTAGGTAATCCTTCATGACATGAAAGAGCTGCAGGAGCTACAGGCCTTCCCGGGGCCCCTGGCCAGGTATGCCACACTGGCAGGTCCAGGAGCTGTGTCCTCCTTGCTGTGCTGGCGTGGGTGGCCTGGGAGAACCTCTCCTTTGGAAGGAAACATGAGCTCAAGGCAGACTTTATGGTCCCCATGGTTTTGAGATATCTGCAAAGGCCAAGTCTGAGTTCAGATTGGGAGCCCAGCCCCTTTGCTGCGGTGTGGGTTGGTTTGGGTTGTGGGAGATGGGTTTTTTGAATATTTATAGGGTGTGGATTTAGTGTGGTTTGTATGTCTGACCTTATTCTGTACTTATGTCCCAGAAAATTTTTTGTAAGATCTCTTTGGATGTCTAAAGCCCTGGGTCAACCTGGGGTTTAGCTTTGCCTAAGTTTTTTGTCCCCTGAGACTGTTGAGCACGGCAGGGGCAGACCCAGCATGCACTTTCATCCAGTATGAGCCTGAGGATGAATCATGGCACATTGCATCAGGTTGTCTCTATCATACTGGTTACAGTGGCATGTCTTCTGGTCACTCATAACCAAAGCAGGGAGAGAAAAGGAGTGTGCAGAAGGAGGAAAACCATTTACTGAGCAAAAGAGCTGTGTATGCCCCGAAGCAGGGTGGAAGACCTGGAGGTTACCTCTTGTGCTGAAGGGGTCATTAGGAATCTCCATATGATATGCTGGTGTAATTGAGTCAGGATCAGCATCTCCATCCCCAGTCCCTCTGCCCTGGCTGATCTTGTGTCTCAGCTGCCCTTTCTTTTCAAATGTCTGATTATTTTATTGTAAGATAGCAGTTCTGCCTGACTTGTGTGTAGCTTAAAGGTTCCTCCTTGTGTTTCAGACCCAAAGGGTTTATGTGGTCACAAGCGTGTCTTTCTCCCTGCACTATGCCAGTTAAATAAAAGATACTGCCTGTATGTGTGCCTGCTCCTGCAGCCTCAGACATCCGAGGATGTAACAGCAGCGCAGCAAAGCAAAACTGAGGTTCTTTGCAGATGGATGGATGAAAATATTATTAGGAGCGCAGAGAGAGGATTTGAGATGCATTCTGCATCCCTGAAACACAGAAATTTGCAAAAAGTCATCATAATGATAAAATTTAAGCGTATTTGAGCTTAGTGTGGCCAATGTGGTGTGTGGTCACTGGCACTGGGGATCTTCTCTGCTCCATCTCTCACTTTGAAGCTTTGGCATCCCCATCAGTGAACCTGGGGACGCTTTGAGTCTGACTGATGTCCTAGATTGCTTTGCCTTGGGTTTCTTTTGATGCCTTTCTTTGCTGCTGTAGGGAAGATCTGCACAAGGTGGATGTGATGACATTTTGCCAACAGAAGATAGCTACGAGCTGTGATCTTTCAACACAGAGAGGCAGAGATTCATCTCTTCTCTGGAAACTCCTGGTCCTCCTCTGCCGGCAGAATGGGGTAGGTGTCCTGTGGAAGGTTCTGACCCTTTTGATCTTAGAAGTAAGACAAGTTATATGCCCCTTAGGTGTCTCTTGATCCAGTTGCTGTTTTCAGGGGGGAGGTATTTTAAAACCATCCCATTCCCATAGTACTATCAATTAGTTTGATACCGCCTGCGTATTTGGAGCAAACCCTTCACGGTGATTGCTTTTCATCCTTGTGAACTACCAACAACCCAATGCTGTAGCAGCTATGAAAGGGGCTGGTGCCCCCTTCATCAAGGAGCCAGCACTTACGCTTAAAAGGGGATTACTCCCTTAACCCAATGAAATCGACCCAATCTAATCTGTGGCTGCTTGTTGGAAACAGATAAATAAGATCTTCAGAGTGAGTACTGTGAAGGTCTTGCTAGTTGTGCTGAATCCCTTGCCTTCTAAAACTGCATGCTTGTCACCAAGGCTGGGAGATGTGCTAGGATGAGGATACACTTGTAAGGGTGTCAGACTGGAAGTGCCGTCAGTCTTTGCTCATGGGGCAGCCTCCAAGGGCCTCCCTTCTCCTGTTCCCTTTCGCAGTCCATGGTGGGCTCGGACACAGCTGAGCTGCTGATGCAAGACTGCAAGCGCCAAGAGAAGTACAAGAGGCAAAACCCTGCGGCAAACCTGATTGGCCTGACGGATGATGAGTGGATGTCGCGACAGCCGGGAACACTGGACCTCATCACGGGAGAGGTCCCTCCTGTCGTGGAGACGCAGGCCCAGATAGTGGAGAAGTTCACCAAGCTCCTCTACTATGGCAGGAAGAAAGTAAGTGGTGAGTGGGATCCAGGACAGTGCTGACTTTTTTTTCTTGTCCCCTTTGGCCTCTTCAGGCAGGTTTTGAAAGGAAGAGTGGTCAAGAGGTGCATTGGGATCAGAGGCTGTGGGATCAACCCTTCAAGTTGTGTTTGTACAACAGGGCTTATGGTAGTGATTTCCCACCACTCGGTATTGGGATGGGGCCCTAAGTGAAAACAAGATGCAGAGGCTTTTACTAGCCTTTACTGTGGGTTTAGTTGCAGTTATGTGACCTCAAGGGATACCAAAGGCACAGGAAGAGAGGAGGGTTGGATACAGAGAAGCTTGGGTGGCCAAGCTGGAATCCCATGGTGGTGGCATTGACAGCTAACAGGCAGCACAGACCTGGAAATCTGGGAAAGAAAGTATTGCTATGAAGATCTGAGTTGTTATTGTGGAAAGTAAAAAGATAAAGGGGCCTTTGAGAACATGGAAGAGTATTTGGAGGGTATTAGTTAAAGCCAGAGCAGTTATTGTGTCTCTTCTCTGAGCTGGGGAGCAGAGGGTCCCCTGGCAGCAGAGGAGGGCAGGGAAAAACAGAATTGGTGCAAACTGTTTTTCTCCTCCACCTTGGCTGCAGGATGCTCTTGTCTGGGCCATGAGAAACCAGCTGTGGGGCCATGCCCTCTTCCTTTCCAGCAAGATGGACCCTCGGACCTATAGCTGGGTGCTCACTGGGTAAGTTGGAGAAGCTAAAGCAAGGTACAATGCTCTGTGGATGGTTTTGCCCTCAGCCCCAGCATACTGAAAAAAACCCACAAAACAACCAACATTGATTTCAGCTGGACCTTTTCAGAGGCAGCAAAGTGGAGAGGGGGCATCAATCTGAATGAGCCTGAGTCCTTCGGGCTTTCTGATGGACAGGAGAAACCAAGTGGGGGCAGGAAAACAGAAGGAAAGCCATTTCCTGCAGATGCGAGGTCGATTTATTCTGACTCTTTGGCTTTGCCCTTGCTGCCCTAGCAAAGGCAGCCATCAGTTGAGCCATCTTCACCGTGATCCAGCTTGGTCTGAGCTGTTCATCCCCTTCGTATGAATACTTTCTGTTGGAATTAATGGATTTAGTCTGGATTGGGTTTATCCCTTCAGGGAGACTTAAGCAGAAATTTTCTGTCTTGTGCAACCTGAATCCTTTTAAGGAGGTTTTATCCAGCATTGTCCTGGAGACTTGCCTGCTCTGAAGGTAATGCAGATCATCAGCCTGGTGGGTTGATGATCCTTTCTGCCTTCTCCGGGAAGCCCCTCAGGCCACTGCTTTCCTGGGACGTTTGGGATGTCTCCTTGCAGGTGAATGAAGTTTTGGGGTCCCAGCATGGCAGCCCTATGTCTGCTGTTTCCTCACAGGTTCACCAGCACACTGGCCACCAATGACCCCCTGCAGACCCTCTTCCAGCTCATGTCAGGAAGGATCCCTCAGGCAGCGCTGGTCCGTGAGCAAGAAGCTGGCCCTGGCACATGTACCCCTGTGCTGTCACCTTGCCTGTGACACCCACTTTGTGGTGACTATGTCTACTCACTTTCTCCCTCCTCTTGTCTCCCTCCAGTGCTGCGGGGATGCCACCTGGGGAGACTGGAGGCCCCACCTGGCTGTGATGTTGTCCAACAAGGCTGGAGACACGGACCTGAACCACCGAGCCATCGTCACCATGGGAGACACTTTGGGTGAGCTGAGGCCATTGTGAGCAGTTATGTTCCTGCTGTCTTGTAATAGTGGGTCAACAGCCACAATGTCACCATGCATATCCCTGCTGGGTTGGATGTACATTGGTGCTGAGATGGGGTGTGCACACATGTACCCCCAGAGCTGTAGTGTCTGTGCAGTGGCAGGGATGAGGCGTTGATGGATCCTGCTGCCCTTCATGCTGGCAGATGAGTCAGGCTCAGGCACATCCATTAGCTGTTCTGGGGACACCAGGAGCGGATGGACCCAGAGAGGGCATATGTAACTGCAGGGACTGAGACTTGCTCCCGGTGGCAGGGACTCTCGGGGATTTCATGCCAGTAATGGCACCTTGCAGAGTTGAAGCTGGAGCTGGACCCTGCTGAGTCTCCCCTGGTCCCACCGCTGAACTGAAACCCCCTCCTAGGTACAGAAAGCAGCAACTGGGGGAAAACAGGGAGAAGGGAGGGATCAGGGTCTGCATGGACAGGGAAGAAAATTGTGGAGGTTGGGTTTGGATTTTTGTGCCATGCTGACCACATGGTGACCTCTTTCTTAGGACTAAGTGTTTGCCTTTTTTTCTTCCCATCCAGCTGGCAGGGGAGCCGTCGAAGCAGCTCATTTCTGCTACTTGATGGCAGATATTCCTTTCGGTTACTTTGGGGTGAAGGCAGACCGCATGGCTCTGCTGGGCAGCAGCCACCGGTAAGCGAGCCCAGGAGGCGGTGCTCTTGCCAGAGTGACATGTTCTACCTTCTCTCCATCTCTGGGATCTCACTTTTACGCAAAAGCAATTCCCGGTTGTTGGTTTTTACTGCTCTTAATGTGAGCTTTGCTCTGGGCCTCTCCAGCTGCAGGCTGGCACAGTGGTGGAGCTGTGAATCTGTATGTGGGGCTGTCTGGGGAGAGGACTCTGCTCCCGCTTGCTGAACCTATCCCTCTACTCTGCAGTCAGGCGTTCGCCCAGTTTGCCAGGACGGAGGTCATCCAGCGGATGGAAATCTTTGAGTACTGCCAGCAGCTACGACAACCCAAATTCTTCCTGCTCCCCTTCCAGGTAGCAGAGATGCACAAGCACATCTGGTGTAGCAGCTCAGACCTGCCCCAAAACATGCAATCATCCTCCTGAAGCCAGGGATTCAGGCTGCTCTCCAGGGCTTGGCCCCTCCCTGGGCTTTGGGAGCGATGGGGAGGTTGCCCCGGCTGAGGGCTCCTCCAGGGCAGGGTTTGGGGCAGGTTTTGGGGCATGGTGTGTTTGACTGGTGCTTGCTCAGATCTGGCTCCTCTCCTGCTCCCTGGGTAATGGATAGTCTTTTCATATTGCAAATAAGCACCTGGCTGCTGCTGCTGCTGCCTCGGGCGCTGCACAAATCAGATGGATAAATGAAGATGGTGGGCTGGCCTTGCAACAGCACTATGGTTTGAGGCCCATGGCTGTGCTGCCTCATGGTGATGGGTGGGGTGTCCCCAGGTTGCAGGTGACCTCTGGGTGATGACACCCATACCCCAGGGTGCTCTGAGTCACGCTGAGATGATGTACCAGCAACAGGGCAAAGGGGACCTGTGGGCACAAGCGTCTCTTCACTCACCTACGTCTGCTCTGCTTCCCTCTCCCAAGGTGTACAAGCTCCTCTACGCCTCTCGCCTGGCTGACTATGGGCTCCCAGCCCAGGCTCTGCAATACTGTGAGCAGATTGCCACTGCGGTCCTTGCCCACGATCCAGCCAGTCACCCTGTCCTGGCCCAGCAAGTGATGAAGGTGAGTTTCGTACTCCCCTGCATCCTTGGCAGGGTGGTAACCATTCACAACCCAGTGAGGTGGGAAGCATCCTCGGGGTTTCCCCATGGCCGGGGGTGCTTGGCAGCTCTGAGTAGTCCCCCCACGTATTGCTGCCTGGCATGTTCTGAGCACGGCAAAGCCAACGCCTCCGCAGGGTCTCTAATACCCATGGATTTAGGGTAGCAAACAAAGGAATTGTGTTGACTGCCAAGTAGGAGCAGAGTTATTTGGAAGCAAAGGATGTTTTCTATTCTGGAGGGGCTTTTTGAACTGCTAAATGGAACAGACTTAAGAAGCTGAAGTGTGAGTGTTTGACATTTCCCTTCCAGCACATCATCCCACAGTTGCATTTACCTGCCAGGGGCTCTTTTGGGGTGACAGTGAAGAGGAGCATGTCCCAGCTTGTAGCCCTGAGCCCAGCTCCTCCACTTCGTGAGTGGGGTGCTGGGGCAGGGAGGGGAGAAGCAAAGTGTCCCAGGTCCTCTGAGTAGGTTGCGCTCTCAGGAGAGCAGGTCTGCCCACTCCACATACATCACTGAGGCAGTACTGAGACTGCTCAAAGCCTTTCTCCATCGGGAAGGAAAGAAAAGCTGTTTTGCTGTAAGATGAGGGGCAGCAGGCATGCCTATCTGAAGCAGGTGCTGTAGAAATTGCCCAAAACTCGGCTGGCACAGTCCCCCACCCCATTGTCAAAACCTATTTACTGTCTAACAGCCTCTCAGATCTACCGTTCTGTTGGGGATAATGCTTCTCCTGGGAGAAAACACTTTCATCTGAAAAACTAGTGCATTCGTAGACACTCTTGTCTTTGATGTTTTAGACTGTGTTACAAATTATGATACACATTAGTGTTTGATTAAGACTTCCCCTCTTTTGAAGCTGGGAACGATATACAACCAGGTGCTGGTTCATTAATATTGGATCAAAGTGCACATTAGCTTTTGGATTAAACATTCCCCCCGTTTAGGAGTAATCATGCTTATAATTTCCTCTTTCCTGCAATCGATTTAGGATGAACACGTGTGTTTGCAAAGAGACAGGATGGTGGGTTCTGGTACTACAAGCTTCTGGCTGGGTTACGCTGCTTGTTGTGGCTGGCCCTGTCCTGAGCCAGGCTCCAGCTGCGTGGGTCATGTCTCACTGTAACCTCCTGGAGGTGGGAAGTGTATTTTGTGTTGGTTTAGACTATTTTGAACGACTTTGGGAACAGGAAGAAACAGCTGATATGGGCTGGTGTGGGGTGGGGTTGGATAGCTGAGACCTGTGTGGCTGTGGAGGGTGACTGAGCTGCCAAGTCACCTCTGGATGGCTTTTGGTGGCCCTTGATGAGGCAGCCTAGTAGCAAAGTGTGGTACATAAATCAGTGCAAAGGAGCTGGGAGGAAGCTTGATAAATTCCCAAGAAGTGGGTCGATACCAGTAAGAGAAAATTCAGTAAAGGCTTGAAAAGTGGTGCTGTAGGTGAGTGTCATCTCCCCTCATCCAGCTGTCTTAAAACTGGATCCTTGTCTAAGCAATTTGTCCAGATTGATTCAGCTGTGCAGGGAGCCCTCCATCGCACCCTGGGCTGGTGGGTTGGGTCACCACAGAAGAGCCTCTTGCTCCGTTGACAGTAGCTGGAGCCCCATGTCCTTGAGACGGCTGCAGGCATGGTGGCATGGACACCTCTCTTGCAGGAGAAATTAAACATGCGGCAGCAATACAGCAGAGAGGGACCTGGGGGAGATAGTGGAGCATGGAAAAAATACCGAGCAGCAGCATAACAGGATGCTGTTGCGAAAAAGAAAAAAATAATCCAATGTTATAATGTTATTCTGGGCTGTGAGAACAAGAACGGCATGTGTGAGACAAGGAGGTGATAAATCCCCCCATGCTCGGATCTCAGGGGTCTCAGCTGGGGCACTGTGGCCCATTTGGGATGCTGCACTCAGCAACGGGGCCAAATTGGAGCAAGTGCAGAAGAGAAGAGCAGGGGTGATAAGAGACTGAGGGGTAAATGACCTCTGAAGAAGGCCTCGGGGTTATTTTTTTCCAGACAAGATATGCTGGGGGAGGAAGGGCTATGGGGGATGTGATAACAGCCCTCTGGCGCACAGGAGGCTGCCTTTCAGGGGATGGTGCCTGACTGTCCCCACAGCTTCCGCAGGAGCAGGAATCCGGAGGCTTAATTTGCAGCAGGGAAGATTTCACTTAGATATTAAGAAAAAACTCTTTAGCTCTAAGGACATTAAGCATCAGGACAGGCCTGGGAGGCTGTGAAATCTTCTCCTTGGAGATTTGTAAGTGCAAATCAGACAAACACAGGCTGCATGAGCTGGTGTGGGCACGCAGGATTTTCTTGAGCATTGGCAAATGGATCGAGTAACCTCAGAGGGTCCCCCTCAGCCCTGTATTTGTTTTCTTTGGGGTTATTAGTGATGGTAATGCTTGTCGCAAAGCCGGGTGAGGAAATGGCCGGGTGAACACTTAGCTCAAACCCTACCGGCTCCCATCCATCCTCGTGGGGCAGGTACAGGGCTGGTGCACAGCCCTGGGAGCTGGGCTGTTCCCAGAGCTTCTGCTGGGGGTTCCTGCAAACCCACTGGTGCCCTGGACTAGCTGTCAAGTGGGATTAAAGGTGCTCATTTACCTCGGAGGAGAAAAGGATGATAATAGTTACCTGCCTCTCTGATGTGAAGAGCATCTTTGACATCGGTACTTGGACATGACTGCAGAGATAGCCCTGCTGGGAGGGTAGCCCCTCTCTGCGGGGCATGGGATGGGCCAGCACCCCTCCGCAGCAATGCAGGAGAGGGAATAAATGTTGCGCAAGAGGCTGGTGTCACCTTAACCCCCATATTATGAAGTGCAGCTCTGGTGCTATTTTTCCCCGGGCCTGCATCCCCAGCCATGTGCAATTGCTGTGAGGGTTGGTCTCTCCCCTCTGAAGCTGAGATGTGTGATGAGCCCTGTTGCCTTCCTGGCTCTGCAGCTAGCCGAGCGGCTGAAGCTCTCCGACCCGCTGCTCCTGGAGATGCCGGAACAGGACCAGACGCTGGAGCCCGACTGGCTGGTACAGCTCCGAGCCTGCTGCCGGGAGTGGGAGGTAAGGAGGACTGGGGATGCTGGGGGGCAGCGGGTCTGCGTTGTAGTTTGTCTGCGGAAGCATCTTCCTCCTCTACCCTGGATCCAAGGGGACAGGTACAGAGGTTCGAAGGCTGTTGTTACCCAGGTGCCTTTCCCCTTGGCTTGTGAGCTCAGAGATGTGGTCTCTGCTGTTTGCCCTGCAGCTTCAGCGCCTCACCAGTTGCAACACCTGCGGGTGTGAGCAGTGAGGGCTGAAGAGCTTCCCAGGGGGCAAACGCTCCTTGTCATGCCTCAAGGAGGGAAGTCAGGGGCTGGTGTGTGAATGATGATCTCTTCTTGCGGTGAGGATATTGCAGAGGACGCTTAGCGGGGCATCACCTTGCAGACATCGGCTCTCCAGTCCCTTAACTGTCATCTGGTCCTTGGATCTTTGTTCAGGTTTCATGTCTGCTTTTGGCTTTGTGCCCTTTTCTGTCTCCAATTTCCCCTCCTGCCTACTCTCAGAAGGGCAGCGGTGCTGCAGCCCCCTTCACTTGCTGGGGAAGAGCCGTGACCGTGCTGGTATGGGTCTCACCTGTAACTTGGGCTGCCACAGCCTGGGGTGGGTTGTGAGCCCCAGACCCACGAGCACCACGCTTTCCTTTGCATTGGCTTTGTGGTTTCCTTAGTCTTTGCCCTGTGTCATTCCTTTTCCCATCTGTTTTAAAATGTTTTCCCTCTGACTCCTTGTAGGTGGAAGATGACCTCCCGCCAGAGGTGGCACCTGCTCAGCCAGGGCTCTCCTGGGCTGCTGCATCAAGGGCAGGTAAAGAAAATGAAGCAGCAGGTTGCGGTTGCCGCAGCGAGCTTTTCTGCATGTGAAGTTGTGCAGCTCCCTGCTCTCCAGAGCATTTCTCAGCAGCTGCTCCTTGCTCCTTACATTACCCCAGAGCTCAAAATTTCCCTCCTGCCTGGATACATCCCTCCGGCATGGGGCTGCCAAAAATGGGCTGCAACCAGAGGGCTTGATGCTTGTGCCCTTCATAGGAAGTCTCAGTAACTGGACCTCATTACCGCAGCTTCGGGAGTCCCCGTGGGTGCTGTGGGAGGAGAAGGGGAGCTAGGGCCGGGTGGCTGGATGAAACACGTGTCTCCTGGCTGAGCCTCAGGGGAGGTGGCCCCGTTCCTAGGCAGTCCTTTGAGGATGCAAACTGGAGCTGAACTAAGGAGATTTCACACTTGCGGAGCAAAAGATTTGGGAAGGAGCTCGTCCCTCTGTGTGGTGGGCTGCAGCAGGCCTGTTGGAGAAGCCCCAGCATTTCCCCTTCCCTGCTGCCTCTTTCATCCCTTTGCTTTGCCTCTTGGTGACCCTAAGCGTTCCCTCCAGTGACAGTCCACCCGGGGGGTCAAGAGACATCAAGATGAGGGACATGAGCCTCCCGTAGGTGACTGTCAAGGGAACGGCTGGAGACCTTTCCTTCCCTAGCTGGGCAGTGTGTCCATTGGGATATCCCATGCAGGAGAAGTCAGGAGCAGGTGACCCATCGGTGTTGCTTCACAGCCACCTCTATCAGCAGGATGCCCCGGCACAGCCCGCTGCTCCTTGCTGCTGCTCAGATCTAGCTTTCTGCTGGGAATGCCAACACCGATGGGTGGAGAGTAAAGGCTGGTGCAGACAGGATAAAACATGACAAATTCCTCCAAGCCGTTTCTTCCTATCAGCTTTCCCTGCTGCTGCCAAATTCCTCTTCAAAGAGCTCTCCCAGGCAGTAAAAAGGATCATCAATCCTGATTGCTTTCTGCTGCTATCAGGGCTGAGGCTATGATCATCCTTCCCTGGAAAAAAAGTAGCAGGTGTGATGGGATGGCTTCACTGAGCAGCCAGGTCTGCTCCATGGGGTCTCTGAAGCTCACTTTCTCGATGCTTGGCCCTTTTGTTTATTGAGAAAGCCATACAGAGCTGCCCTCTGAGGGACCTGAGTGCAGATAAAGCTGGCTTGGTGCTGAATTCATCCATCTTGGAAAGGCAGAGCCTGAATCAAGGTGCCAAGCTGGGATCCACATGGTCACAGCAATCTCACTCTCCATCCTTATAGCCTGGGCTGTCCTCCCTGACTTTTTCCAGCTAAGCCTGTCAGGCAGCATGGAGTAGAGCATCCATCCTTCTCCCTGTGGATCTCAAGCATCTCCAGGCCAGGCAGGAGCATCTTGCAGATGTGAAGCCAACCATGAGCAGGCTGGCGGAGATGCCAACCAGCAAAGCAAAGGGCTTGGTAGCACCGCATCCAAGAGGTGCTATAGCCTGTCCCCAGTCTCAGGCCCGTGGGGTCTGGGTCCTGCCTGGCCACGTCTCACGGCGATGGGAGAGAAACTTCTTACTGCCCAGCACGTTTCTGGCCAGAGGCTGCAGAGCTGGAAAAAGCAGGACACACACTTAGAACCAACAGCAGTGCGCTGCCTGCATCATGTCTAACATCAGACAGAGGAGTGGTGTGTGTGTATATGTTAAATAAAACAAACTCCACTTGCTCAACTCCCCTTTCAAACAAAAAATCCAACCCTGAATAAATCTGCCTAAAGCAAGAAACTCAACCATGGGCACTCCTGTAAAAAAAGGCTGAGGCTTCCTGGTGAATTTTCTTTCCTGCTCAGGGTGTGCAGCAGGAGTGGAAGAAAAGGCTGGAGGCCCCGGGCTCTTTTGAACTGCTGGGCACGTGCTGCTCATGCTTGATCTCTTCGCTTCCATGGCATTCCCCTTCCGAGTTCGTTTGCAGCCTCAGGCACGTTCCTGGGAGGTTTCCCCCCTGCCTTTCATAGGTCACCTTCCTTGAAGCCTCTGAAAGGTCCCTGCTGCCCCGCTGTGCCCTACCTCCTTCCTCGCCTGTGCATGGTGCCCGGGATCGCTCCTCACCCCCCTGGTTTCCGCTGATGTATAATGGAAAAGGGGAGAATTCTGTGCAACAGCGCAATGAAATTATAAACACTGGAGTAAACTCCTGAGGTGTGGGGTTTGTGTTCTTTTTTTTTGTTTTGTTGTTTTGGGATTTTTTTGTTTCTTTTTTCAGATGGAGAGCCTGGCCATGAGCTTCCACAGAGCGAAGGCTACCAGTATGACCAGCCCATGCCACCCCAGGAACTCAGCTCCTATGAGGATGTGTCTCTCCAGCCGCCGACACCTGCTCCGGTCACAGCATCGCCACTGCTCGGTGTTCGGCAAGAGCTGCAGCCGCCCGCGCTCAGCCCAGAGATGGCCACCCCTTTGGGAGGGGTTTTTGCTGAGGCCCCTCCGCAGGTGGTGTCAACAGCAGGTAAGTCCTCCAGCCTTGTTTCCCTGCAAAAATTCCTGTCCCCAGTTACAAGCAGTGGGACGGGTTGTCCGTTGGGGGAACTGTGATCCCCTACGGCAGGTGTGTCACTTCAGACGCTGCTCCCTGCCAGTGCTGCCTTCACCAAGCGTCTTGTTTCCCTCCAACCTCACCTAGATGTGGAGCCACACTTGCCCTGGTGCCATGTACGCAAGCTGTGTCCATCACCTGCCCTGGGCCGGTGGGTCTTCATTTTTGGAAGACCTTGCCCGAAGCAGCAAGGGAGGCCAACTGTGGGTCGGTGGCAGTGCTGCCACTTCCCTGCCAGATGGGAAGACCAGCTTCACGTCCAGCAGCACTAGACATGTTTTTGAGATGCACCAGTGCAGCCTTGTGGCTGACTCCCTGCTGCTGGGATGGACAGGGACAGGGTCCAGAATGGTCTTTTGCATCTCTTGGGGTGGACATCTTGGCCACGCGGCCTTGCTCTGGGGTGGGATGATAGAAACACTGAAAATACCTCAACATGGCAGGAGCTCCTTGTGCTAAACCTTGACTGTGTCCTTCCGTTTGTTCCGTAGGAGAAGCTGGGGAACCTTGGGGTGCTCCGCTGGCCCCTGGAGGGGTGCAGACGTCCCTCCCAGCAGAGCAGGTGAGTCAGAGGGATCAGGGAGACCATCCCATTGAGGGCCCTGGGGGAATCTGGGACTCGCTAGCTCATCCTTCTACGCACTTAACTCACATGGAAAGCCCCCATCATGGTGCCAGCTGCCCTCTCGGGAATCTGACAGGTTAGGGTAGCCCTCTCCAGCCTCCTACCTCTGGGGCCACTGCACTCCACTGACGATGCTATCCCTCCCCATCTGCTGTGTAAGGGATGCACGGGGGTTCCTGGGGATGCTATCCGTTAAGCCTGGCATGGAGAAGTCCCAGGGATGCTCTGATCATGCTTGCGGTGGCTCCTCTGGGAACACCAAGTGGCAGCTCCAATCCCCAATGGTAGGAGGAGCTAAAGGCAAGGGCTCGGACCATCTCAGAGAGCTCCACTGTCTCCTTGGGTGATGACAGCCAACCTTCATCAGAGAGTGCAGCTGAAGATGCCACCGAAGAGACTGCACCAGCAGAGGCAGTGAAGGCGGGTGAGAATAAGGTGAGCATGCCAGAACTGATGTGAAGCCTTGTGCTCTGAGCTTGCCTGTCCCTGATGCCTGCCGTGCCTGCCCTGCCCTGGGCAAAATGGTGCCCGCTCCCAGCCAGCATGGGAGAACATTTGGGTAGCCGTGGCATCCTCCCCTTCTCACCCATTTCCACTGACTGTGACAACCTCCATTTCCCAGAGCTCTGGATTCAGGTGGTTTGGCTGGTTTCGGTCAAAGCCCACCAAGGAAACATCTCCCAAAGCTGCATCTGAGACAGCCCCGGACTTCCCCACACCAGAGCTGCAGGTAGGGGACGAAAGGCTGTCCTGTCCCCGGGTGACACCCAGGGCAACAGCCATGGGGACAGGTGACGGATCTCCCCCTTCACCCACAGTTTCTCCCTCTGTCCTCATGCAGGTGGCTGGACTGTGCCATCGCACAGCTCTTCATGGCCGTAGCCACTCTGTATGGGGACAGAGTGGGACTGGGAGCCCTTTTAGCTTGGAAGTGAATCCTTAATTAATAATAATTGTAAATTTATAAAGCCTCTTTGATCCGGGAGGTCCTCCGAGCACTTGGCAAACTCTGCAGGGATTGCTTGCCCTCCGCCGGAGCGGAAAGCAGCAGCTGCGAGCAGCACCGCTCGGGCAGGTTTTAGGAGATGAAGGGAAGGAAAACCTCTAATTGGAAGCGCAGCAGAGACAACGAAGCAGCAGAGAGGGGGAAGCAGTCAGGTGTGGTCATCCCAGTCCTGGCTGAGTTCCCAGGGTGTCACATCCCCGACTGCAGGCCAATGGCGGGCTTGGAGGCATATGTTGGAGCGAGATCCTCCCCTGGAAGTTTCCTTCTGGTCGATAACGACCTACAGTCCTGGAGCAGGAAATTTTGGGATATTCTTCCCAAACTAGCAGTAGATGAGGAACAAAGGGGGACCCATGGGCCCTGGTGGCCCCTTAACACTGTGCACAGGCTTGGTGTCTGGCCTCCTGCTTCATTTTGAGCTCTCCAGGTGGTTTAACTTTGTGACAGGGGTTGCTTCCCCTGACCCTGTACTCCCCCTTAGCTTAGGTGCTTGTAGCTCTTGGGGTACCTCTCCAGCAGGATGGGTGCAGAGCGGTACCCCCGGAAGTGTGGGGTGGTATCTGGTGCAGAGGTCTTCTCACCATGCAAGGAGCTTCTGCTCTAAATGGGTGGATGTGGTTTCAGGAACGGACGTCGCCATCCCCACTTGACGCTCCTCTCACAGCTGGGACAAACCTGTTGGCTCAGCCTCTGTCCAGAAATCCTGGTAAATGCTGTGTGTGTGCCTTCGCCCCTCTCCCTGCCAGCCTGTTAGAAGCTGGTCCTTTTAATTTTAAATTGGTTTTTTTTTTTTTTTTGGTTGCATGCCCCAGGGGCAATGCAAGGTGAAAATACCTTTCCTATTACTCCAGTGTCTGTTGAGATGAAAGGCTCATGGGATGCAGATGGTGGGGAGTCAACAGGAGAGCAGGTGAGGAGAGGAGAGAGATGTGTTTGTGTGTGACGGGGGGGTCCAGAACACCTCTCTGCTCGGGGTGGCTCTGAAATCAGGGGGTGGCTGTTAAGTTTCTCTCCCTTCACCCCTTCCAGACCGGCTTCCAAGAATCTCCCCTGGCGGTGGGGACAGTCCCTCTCTTCAACCCTGTCCAGGTCTCTCAGGTGAGAGCATCCTCCTGGGGTGTTGCTGGGTAGGGCTGGGGATGGCGCCTGGCTTTTGGGGTGATGTCAGATAGCTTGCAATCTGCTGTGGGTGGGTGTATATAGGGAATACCAGCCCCGAATATAAGAATTTGGTGTTTATAAGAAAATAAATTGGGGGGAGGACGGCGATGGGGGGGGAGTGGTGGTGATGGAGAAGGGAAACGGCGGGGGATGCTTGTGGCTGCATCCTGAAGACAGTGGGGCTCCACATTTTGAGGCACGACCTTCCCTTACACCATATTTCTCCCTTTCCCCAGCTCGCCGCTGCTTCTCGACCCAACCAAACCAGACTGCTTTCCCAGCGCCGCTACCCCAACCTGCTGTGAACGGAGAGAGGGGAGGGGAAGGGATGTGTGTGGCAGAAACCAACAGTGGTGACCATTTGTGGAAAGTTTTTAACTGAAGTGGTGGTTGTGGTTTTTTTGGAAGGGGTGGGGGGGCAGAGTGCGTCGTCCGGGGCCGCGGGCCCAACCTCTGCCCAGCACTTTGTGGGTGTTGGGTGGGGTTTAAAGTCATAATAATTGGATTATTAAAAAAAAATAACACTAAAAGGGTGTCCGGGGGAGAGTAGTCTGAATTGGGTTGTAGGGCGATGCCCCACCTCACCCATTGAACTCAACGATTGCCGGCCGTGAGTCTGTCCCAAAGCACCGCGGGGCCACGAGCATCCGCCGGGGCTTATGTGCAGCGGGGGAAGGCGGTGCCCCCCCTTCTGACTCCGCCCGCGGCTTCTCCTGCCCAGGCCGGCCCATGCATACACGGCGCCCCCCCTTGCTGGTGGCTCACCCGCCCCCTCGCGGGCGGGGCTCTGCTAGAGCCGCCGGCGGCCCTTCCCTCAGACCTTCCCCGAGGCGGAGCGTTGGGTGACGGACACCCAGTAGGTGGCCTCGGTGGTGAGCTTCCCCCGGACGCTGCCATACTATCCTTGAGCCATATATATAGACTCACTTCTCTATCTGCTTTAGGTCAGGGTGAGCCGCCGGTGCTACCCAGCGTGCACTGCGCTGTATGCTAATTTAGAACCGCCTTTCCGTCGGAGGCGGAGGGTTGGAGGGAGGGTGGACGCGCTGGGTGGAAGGTAAAGGGCGGGATGGCGGCTGGGGACCGCCTCCCTCCCGCCCGGCACCCGGTGCGATGGGGCTGCGGGGCCGGCGCACACTGGTGACA